ATTTCTTAATTATTCATTGCATTTTGTGTTTTTAATAGCTACAAATCGCCTTCTTTTAGTCATTGTGACTTTATTAATTTATTATAACCACTAATTCAGCTAGTGAACTTGAAAGTAAAATCATAGTAATTTCAAACAAAAGCAGTGCATAAATACAAGCTTTTTTATAGTGGGTAAATTTGACTCACGCTGGCGCTTATAGGTATAAATATCCCACATTTTAATCTATTTTTATCTAAACAATTTTTAATATCTGGGAATTTTAGTAAAATTCAATGACTGGGAGGCTTGAATTTTTTGTTGAAGTGCTGTTATGTACATTTGATTACCCCATAGTGATTACCCCTAGATTACCCCTATGATACCCCATAGTTGTTTTAGTATTAAAATAACATGGTTATAATATAGTGTGTTTGAGAAAATTAAAAAACAAGCAGATCAGCTCTCAGAACATAGTACTTAGTAAGGGTGTAAGTGTAAAAGTTTGAAAGCACCCTTACATTTTCAAGTGAACCATAGTTCACGTGAATCTATACCCCAGACCTTCTCTTTCAGGCAGACTCAGGTACAGTTCATGGGTGTGCACCCAAGTTCAGAAGACAACGTAAATCTGCACAGTTTTGCTCCAACCCTAATTAAATACAGCTGATGCCACTAATTAAGGTGTCCATGACTCTTTTGAACACCTTGATTACTTGGATTAGCTGTATTTGATCAGGGTGTGATTAAAACTGTGCAGAGCTGCAGCCCTCCAGGAATCCAGTTTGAGAGCTATGATCTAAAGGGTTAATGGTGCCTGCTGATGATCAACAATAAAATTAAAAGTTTTATCTCTTCCCAACAGTAAAACCAGCAACAATCAAGAAAGAATGATTATATGAGGTCATGGCTTTGCAATTAAAAAATGTGGTTATATTGGAAGTCTATTGGGCAAAATTAGCCCCGAACATAATAAAAGGGTAGTCAATTTGAACAATACACAAGGGTCAATCACCCTTGATGAATAATGTTTTAGCTTTAACATACAATATTCTATTAGACTTATCACTGAGTGCTGCTATAGCATCAGGTAAATAAGACATTTATTATAATGATCAAATGACTCTGTGGAATGCTTGAATAAAAATTTTCTATTTTATATTAACAATGATTAATTACATAAAAATGTGAGTTTATATACATAATTATTGTGACTTAACTTTTAAAGGCATTTAAACAAACATAAATATATATTAAATATAAAATAATATATTCTGTTTCTCTGGATTTACAATTTATAGTTTTGTTCTACAAACTACTGATGGCATTTACACCTAAATTTAATAACTATATTAATAACTTCTTGTCAAAATAAGAAAAAGGTGCAATGTTTTCTCACACGCACCTTTATAATTATGGCTCTAATGTTTCACTTCAGTAAGCCATTCCAGTCCAAGGTCCTGAAGACAAGTGATAGTCATGAATACTGAATGTTTTATCGTTCACTTATAATAAGATCTTAATATAATGTTTATGACAGTGTTTTTACTGCCCATTTTTACTCTTAGGTGCAGAAGGCAAAAGTTTCAAAGCTAGTTCACTAAATTATAATAAATTATCAATTGTTTATATGCATTTATACACAATCAATCTAGGGACTCATTGTAATTACCTTTTAAATACTTATTTGAATATGAACTAAGTAAATTATTTAATGCATGTCAGACATTGTGCAGCATCCTAAGACACACCTCATGGCAGTCAAATATGAACAGCTTGCAAAAGGGCGGCTGCTTTGAAGAAGCTACAAAACAAAGAATTTTAATTATAGTTTGTGTGTGTGTTTAAATATAGTTTTACCGGGATATTGTTATTATAAATAAATACTACTTTTAATACTAACTAACTACATGAAAAATTGAATGTCTGATATTGTGCAGCAATAAGCTACAAAACAAATAATTTTAATCATAGTGTATGTTTTAATATACATAATTTTACCGCCACATGATATTATTGTACAAAATATACTAGTACTACAATGTAAATGAAAAGAGGGTGCTAAACTTTAGACTGGTAGTTTTATACAAGATGTCAGATTTAGATCACGCAGTATTTCCTTGTTTGTTGTGTCAACAGCTTTCTTATCAATCCATGTGCAGTTTTCAGAATTACTTATGGGAACCTGTTAAAGAGAATCAGTTACTAAATTGAAATGTCAAATGCGAGGAGCGAAAGAAGTGTTTAGCGGTAAGCTGCAATTAATAATGTATGGAAATTTATTTTACTGTTTTACTGTCATGCCACTGTGTGGCTCGGTGTCATAAAGTTTATCATTCACAAAGTGGCTTTTGTATTTAAAAGGATGATTCACCCAAAAATTATAATATACTCAATATTTAATCGCCCTGAAGTAGTTACAAACCTTAATGACTTTTTTTTTTTTAATTCTGATTAAATTTTCGTTTACTTCCGGTCGCAACCATATCTGATCCAGCAAAAACCGATGCAGACCTGGTGCAGTTGCAAGCTGAGCTGCAATACTTTTTAATGCGCATGCCTAACCTAACCCCACCCCTAACCCTACCCTTCACAGTGACGTCACTAGCTCCATTGAGTGCATTGTGTCTGATATTGCAAGACCGAGACTTGCAGTTTCAGCTTGCATAATCAAGGCTGCATCTAGGTACTATTGGAGGATACGTTCATATGAAATCTCCAAAACAAATCAATGTAGTTTATGGGAAACTCACTGAGAACATGTTAATGAGTGATTTGTTAGCTTAGATGGTAATTCCAGTAAAACTTAGTATTATTATCTAACATAATAACATAAATTTAACAAATGATTAATTTACAATTATTGTTAATTTTAGATTTTTAAGTAGTTCTAGTGATTTTTGTAATTATGATGAAAACAACACCATATCTTTTTAAATACAAGTCCTTCATCAGATGTTAGTCAAATGCCCATGATATTCATCGAAAATATTGAATTGCTTAACATATATTGCCTAATCAAGCAATTAGGACATCATGCATTTGATGTTAATTGATCAACTTTTTTAAATGATGGTGATCATTATTAATTACTTAATAAATTGCAGATTAAATTGTTCTAAAAAGTGAAATATGACTAAAGAAAACTGCACTTGCATAAAACTAGCCTGGAATATTAATACTTGTATCGTTTTGATTTACTTATTAATAATGTATTGAATTATTATTATTATTATTATTATTATTATTATTAGTGGGGTTTGCCTTTAGGCAAATCCACTATTGTTATTCTTCTTTCTTCTTCTTCTTATTTTGTGCGTTTTTCTGGATGCGCAACTAGTCCCACAGACCTTTGAAAGTGTCGTCAAATCGTCTGGTTTTTATCAGGGATATGTAGCTATTACTTTTATAAGATTTTTTTTTTTTTTTGGCCCTGCAGGGGTAATGTTATGACATAACATGGGGACAAAATTTAACACAACATACACCCAAGTATGAATTTAGTGGAAATATGAGATTTACAACATCTTAAAAGGGTTGTGGCCTGAGTAAGGATACACCCCTTAAGAGGGTTAAAGTTGTACTCCTGAGGCGCTTGGATGTCCCAAAGTTTATCATTGACTAAACATGTGCAAATTTAATCTATTTATTACAAAAACTTTCATTATAAAAGCCACGCATCAATAACATAGGAGAGTCAGACATGGGGTGGAGTTATTTGACTCAGACAACCAATCAGCTACTGAATATGAAAATAAAGCTCTTAAGCCACGCCTCTAAACTGATTCCATAGACTGATATTATAAAAGGCCTGCATGCATATCTTTGCATAGCAGTTTCCTATAGACAAGGGGGTGGGCTCATATGACTTTTACAACCAATAAGCGTCTCTACAAGATAATGAAGCTCACAAGCGACGCCCCAAAAACGGATACCATAGACTGCCATTATACTAGGCATAGATGCATATCTTTGCCTAGCAGTGTCATTCAGACATGGGGGTTGGCTCATTTGACTTAAACAACCAACCACTTTCAACTTCACTCTGTAACCACACCCAACAAAACAGAGTACCCTAGTATAATCTTAACCAATGTACACAGTCTGAGTCGATAGGAGCCATGATAATTAGTCCACCTTTCAATTCAGTTCTTTTTCCGGCTCTAAACGCATTTGATTGGCCCATGAGGAAGGAATGACTCAGACCCGATAGAGGACTCGAGAGATGAACGGTTTAGTTCTTTTTTTGGCTCTAAACGCATATGATTGGCTTCTGCCTTTCCACAATGAATGACTCAAAAGACTTGAAATGAACAACATCACCTGCACAAATGTGCGCACGCGCATGGTTCATGAGCGACCCATCACTAGAGACATGGGGATTGGCTTGTTTAACTCATACTAGCAAACAGAACTTCCTATATGCTACACATTCTAGCAATGACTAGCTACATGCTAATATTAATTTGCCAAGTGCTATAACTTGTTAGAAATGCTTACTAAGATTGTATCAAACCTGTATGTGAGGCTTGCATGGTAACAACCCAGTGTTTCCTAGCAAATGCCTACCAACTACCTAGCAACGACCTAGTTATGCCTCCGCAAGTGCCTAGTGACTAATCAAGACACCCTAGCAAATGCCCAGCAACACCTTAGCAATCACTCTAAATAATCTAGCAACCACCTAGCAACACCTTAGCAACAGCTTAAAACCATACAACAAGTGCCTAGAAACACCTTTGCAACTGCCTTGCAACCACTCAGAACACCCTAGCAACCACCTAGCAACGTATTAGCAACTACTCAGAACACCCTAGAAACTGCCTAGCAACACCTTAGCTACAATTTTAGTTGTTGTTGTTCTTGTTTTTGTTGTTGTTGTTGTTGTTGTTGTCGTTATTATTACTATTTTATTGTCGTCTGCTGTATGCTACTTTTAATTGTTTTTATTCAAAATTATTGTTTTGGAGTCCAGCACTTTGTATAATATTTGATTGTTTAATGAATGAATCTTTCCCCAGGGACAAGCAACTCTACCTGATGTTAACGATGTTAGGATAACTCATCGAACAGAGACTGAATTAACATTTCAGTGGGATAAAGCTGGCGGCAGTAACAGTTACAGTTATATACTGCGTAGAGATGGGATTGACAGCGACATAATCACTGCTGGCACTGTCAATCAAGTAACTTATAAAGTCTCAGATCTGTCTTCTGGGACTAACTACAACTGGACACTCTTCACTGTGTTTGGAGACCAAAGGAGTGAGGGCAAAAATTTCTCTGCGGCAACTGGTGAGTTTATTCGTCCATAAGCTAAACAATATAACATTATATTTTCTCTCATGTTAAAATCAATGTTCATTTATAGATTTTTAGAGTTTAAATATTAAAGAAGTTTAATAGATTTAGGCTAATAATTTGGCCCAATGGAATTGATTTCTCTAAAGGTAGCACATTCTTCACGATATCAGTGAATTAACCAAATAACTCCAATTCACTTCTGAATTTTAGTTTAAAAACAGTAAAGAGAACAAATATTTCTACACTTTTGAATGTAAAAAAAATCTTTTGATTGGGTTAAATTGACACTGTAAGAAAAAAATCCAGATAGTAGATGGAAAATGAATAATCAATGTTCCTCAGCAGGATCCTTTTCACATGCAGACATCTACACTACAATAAGTCATTAAACCTTAATTGAACACCACTGGATGCAACATAAAATAATGATGTCTGTTGTGAAAATAACGTTAACTTTAATATAGCTTTATAAAGTGTATCTATTTCAGAAATAATGTATAGTTAATAGAACACACATATGTGATAGTTAATTTTAATGTTTTACCTCTCAAGTCCATTTTATTTTTAATTACAGTTGAAGTTGGAATTATTACCCCCCAGTTTGTTTTTTCTCCCAATTTCTGTTTAACGGAGAATTTTTTTCCAGCACATTTGTGAACATAATAGTTTTAGTAACTCTAATAACTGATTTATTTTATCTTTGCCATGATGACAGTAAATAATATTTGACTAGATATTTTTCAAGACACTTCTATACAGCTTAAAGTAACATCTAAAGGCTTAACTAGGTTAATTAGGTTAACTAGGAAGGTTAGGGTAATTAGGCAAGTTATTGTATAATGATGGTTTGTTCTGTAGACAAAAATAGCTTAAAGGGGCTAATAATTTTGTCCTTAAAATTGTGTTTAAAAAAATAAAAACTGCTTTTAATTTAGCCAAAATAAAAAAAAAATAAGACTTTCACCAGAAGAAAAAATATAATCAGACATACTGTGAACATTTCCTTGCTCTGTTAAACATTATTTGGGAAATATTTAAAAAAGAAAAATAAATTTGTGGGGGGCTAATAATTCTGACTTCAACTGTATATTCAAATGTATGACAGTTTAAATTTATATTACATTTAATAAGCTGAACCTTGAGTGATTTTTTTAAACTACTATTCATAGGTACTAGTGGCTTTAAATCACAGTTTATGAGCACTGACAAGCAATTGATTTGATTGAACTTCTACTTAATTGTCAGTATAACAACACTTAAAAAATATGTTTGCTCTTTTTTTCAACCTACTCACTTAAAATGACCTCAAACAACATAACTCTTGAGCTTTTTCTTTACTTTTTTATCTACTTAAATTTGTAAACATTAATAAGTTAGCTTAATTCCTTCATGTCTTCATGTTTTACCAGTAAATCAACTTAAGTGTGAATCTAATGTTTTATCTAAATGGGTTTTATATGCTATAGATTTCATTCTTACAGATTAAATGTGACTTTAATAAACTCTAAATATACTTTAATAATTTATTGCACCAATTAATGCACTTCAAGCAGTTAACTAGAACTAAAATATACTTTAAAGTCAGTTTAACCAAATGTGAATTTAATCTAAAATATGAGTGATAACTTAAATGCACATATTATTATTGGTCATCAAATATATAATAAAACTTAATTTGGTATTATTCCAACAATTTCATTACAAAAGTAAAATTAAATGCTTTTATATGTCCAAATAATAATAATAATAATAATAATAATAATAATAATAATAATAGGGCGATGCAGTGGCACAGTAGGTAGTGCTGTCGCCTCACAGCAAGAAGGTCGCTGGGTCGATGGTTTGAGCCTCGGCTCAGTTGGTGTTTCTGTGTGGAGTTTGCATGTTCTCTCTGCGTTCGCGTGGGTTTCCTCTGGGTGCTCCGGTTTCCCCCACAGTCCAAAGACATGCGGTACAGGTGAATTGGGTAGGCTAAATTGTCCATAGTGTAGTGTGTGTTTTTGTGAATGAGTGTTTGTGTGTGTGTTTTTGTGAATGAGTGTTTGTGTGGGTGTTTTCCAGAGATGGGTTGCAGCTGGAAGGGCATCTGCTGCGTAAAAATGTGCTGGATAAGTTGGTGGATCATTCCGCTGTGGCAACCCTGGATTAATAAAGGGACTAGGCCGACAAGAAAATGAATGAATGAATGAATAATAATAATAATAATAATAATAATAATAATAATATTAATATTAATAATAATAATAATAATAATAATAATAATAATAATAATAATAATAATGAGAAAAATGTAATTACAATTTTTTTTTTTTTTTTTTTTGAAGGAGACACTCAAGTTAAATTCAAAGTCAGTTATTGGACAATACATGTGCTTCTGTATATTCTATGATGAAAAACATCAAGTGGAATCCTTTAAAACACTACAGAAACTAAATTATTTTAAATCTGTAAGTAGATCTCAATTAGAATTGATTACAGAGTGTATTTTATAAGTGCTCAAGTATGTAGAGAAATATTATATATAATAATAATAATAATAATAATAATTCCTTACATTTATATAGTGCTTTTCTGGGCACTCAAAGCGCTTTACACAATGAGGGGGGGGGGGTCTCCTCATCCACCACCAGTGTGCAGCATCCACCTGGATGACGCGACGGCAGCCATTTTGCGCCAGACCGCACACCACACACACCAGCTGATTGGTGGAGAGGAGACAGAGATGAAGCCAATTGGAATATGGGGATGGTTAGGAGGCCATGATGGACAGAGGCCAGTGGGCAGATTTGGCCAGGATGCCGGGGTTAAACCCCTACTCTTTTTCGAAGGACATCCTGGGATTTTTAACGACCACAGAGAGTCGCGACCTCGGTTTAACGTCTCATCCGAAAGACGGAATATATCTATCATTAATATATTGGAATATATCTATTGGATATATCTATCATTATACCGTATTCTACTAAAATACAGTTATTTGGCCTTAAACTTTAATAGCAATATTTAATGTGCAAGTGCACTTGTTAAAAGCGATTACTTTTAAGCACACACACACGCACGCACACACGCATGCACGCGAGCACACACACACACACACAAAATCTTTCTTTTCACAAGAGATACTTCACAAGCAATTTTTATTTACATTTTTTTTAAATATAAAGTGTATCACAATGAATTATAGAAACACCACTTTAGGGTTTTACTGTAGCTCTGCACTAAATGAGTTGCATAAAATAAGCACTTTATTGTATCCCTGCTACAATTATACAATTTTATTTGTATGTTTTTTTACTGAAGTATTACATTCATAAAATTGTAAACATCTCTCTCTCTCTCTCTCTCTCTCTCTCTCTCTGAGTATAAAACAGAAACTAAATGTTTCTTTTTTTGTTTTTCCTCTTCAGTTCCTCCTAATGTTGAAAGTGTTTCAGTCATTGATCAGAGTGAGACTACGATAACATTACAGTGGAAAAAAGACAAAGCTGAATATTCTTATAATCTGACATATGGGGATAAAGTGGATACTCCTCCATCTCCTCAATCTACAGTGGAATATACTGTCACATCTCTGTCTCCTGGGACTAATTATTCATTTACACTCTACACTGTGTTTGAAGGTCTGAAGAGCAGTGGATTCAGCTTCTTTGCTGTTACTGGTGAGTCTCAATAAATCATTGCTGTTCTTTTTTCTCATATTTTTGTTGGTGATCAAATAAATAATTTTGTTTTAAAGTAAATTTATATTGAGTGCAATTAGCTTTCTTAACCTTCGTACTTTCTTGATGTCTAGTGTATCTAAAATATATATAATAATAATACTAATAATAATAACAATAACAATAACAATAATGGAAGATAATGTAAATACATCGAAACAAACAAAAGATTAAAATTATATACGATTCAATTACAACAAGTCTCACAAACTTGAATAAACTCAAAAACAGAAAAAGACGTACAGTATAAACTGTATATTTTAACATCAGACAATAATAATAATAATATTAATAAAATACAGCAACTAAAGAACTGTGTGAATTTAAAAGGAATATTCAAACACAAATTTTTCAAATTATTTTATTTTTGAATTGTTTTAAATATGTTACAATTACAAACTAAAATACATCATGAGATGTATTTTTTTTTTTTTTTTTAATAACTGATTTAATTTTGGACGAGACACTCAAGTTAAATTCAAAGTCAGTTATTGGACAATACATGTGCTTCTGTATGTTCTATGCTGAAAAACATCAAGTGGAATCCTTTAAAACACTACAGAAACTAAATTATTTTAAATCTGTAAGTAGATCTCAATTAGAATTGATTACAGAATGTATTTTATAAGTGCTCAAGTATGTAGAGAAATATTATATATCTATCATTATACCGTATTCTACTAAAATACAGTTGTTTGGCCTTAAACTTTAATAGCAATATTTAATGTGCAAGTGCACTTTTTAAAAGCGATTACTTTAAAGCACACACACACGCACGCACACACGCATGCACTCTCACACGCGAGCACACACACACACACACAAAATCTTTCTTTTCACAAGAGATACTTCACAAGCAATTTTTATTTACATTTTTTTTTAAATATAAAGTGTATCACAATAAATTATAGAAACACCACTTTAGGGTTTTACTGTAGCCGCTCATAGAATGACTTGTATAAAATAAGCACTTTACTGTATCCCTGCTTTAATTATATGATTTTATTTGTATGTTTTTTTTACTTTACATTCATAAAATTGTAAACATCTCTCTCTCTCTCTCTCTCTCTCTCTCTCTCTCTCTCTCTCTCTCTCTGAGTATATAAAACAGAAACTAAATGTTTTTTTTGTTTTTGTTTTTCCTCTTCAGTTCCTCCTAATGTTGAAAGTGTTTCAGTCATTGATCAGAGTGAGACTACGATAACATTACAGTGGAAAAAAGACAAAGCTGAATATTCTTATAATCTGACATATGAGGATAAAGTGCAAACTCCTTCATCTCCTCAATCTCCAGTGGAATATACTGTCACATCTCTGTCTCCTGGGACTAAATATACATTTACACTCTACACTGTGTTTGAAGGTCTGAAGAGCAGTGGATTCAGCTTCTCTGCTGTTACTGGTGAGTCTCAATAAATCCTTACTTTTTTTTTCTTCATTTCAAACCTATTTTAAGACAATAAATGCAAACAAATGCAGATCATTTTTAATTATGGTTTTATCACATTATAAATTGTTATGGGATATATATTTGGGATATTTTAAAACATTCTTCAGATAACGCTTTAGTTAAATGAACAGTACATCAATAATAAGTAACTATGTATGAGAATTAATGCAGGAGGGAGCAGCGTTGTGAATAACCTGCATCACTTTATCAGTTTCTTATTAGGCAAGAAAGTAAACCTATTAATTATGCCACATTAGCAGTTGCCCTTAACATTAAAAAGCTGTTTAATAATATAATACATTATTGTACTCACTAATCACAGCTAACATTTTGCATATAGTTACTTTTAATAAAGAGTTATTTTAAAGTGTCACCATATTCAGTATACTGTAGCACCAAGGCTTATTTTCTTACTTCAAATTTGTATTTTTTAAAATTCCTATGGGGGAAAGCTCTGTCTTAAAAAAGGAGAGAATCTAACAAACATGTTAATTAATAATCTGATGTTTCTATTCCGCAAATAAGCATGGAAATGATCTCGAAAATATAAATGATTGTCATATATATTTTTCTCTTTACATAGTTTTGCTATCATATACAATTAGATGCTAACAAAAAGATTGAATTTTTTTTTGTTTTTTGTTTGCAAAATAAAAATGAATGGCTTAATTGATGAACTGATGAATAGTATAAGACTTTTTTGGAAACTTTTCTGTCTTTTTCTTTTTCAGTTCCTTCTAAAATTACAGGATTTTCGGTCATTGGTCGAAGTGAGACTGCTCTAACATTTCAATGGACAAAAGAAAAAGACGAATACACTTATGAGCTGGACAAAAGTGATGCTAATACTCAAATATCATTTACTGATACTACAGTGGTGTGTCTCATCACATCTTTGTCTCCTGGGACTGAATACTCATATAACCTCTATGCTGTGTTTGAAGGAGTTAAAAGCCAAGCAAAAGGAATCTCTGAAGTAACTGGTGAGTCATTACATAAGTAATGCCAGGCTAATGTGATTCTTTGTGTTCAGGGTATTAGATCTGCTGTAATCATGCCCTCTTATCAATGAAAAGAAAATATGAAGACAACACAACAGCAATTGATATAAGTTTATTAAGATGCAGATCTTTTCTGCTACCTTGCTGGATTTTTACCTGCCCAGTCAACATTTTCGCTCACTTCACCACAAAACACAGTGATCAGTTTTTACTCTTACTGTAGTTAAAATTGCCACACACTGTTGTCACCGGGACAGTATTTTTTCAAACAATACATTTTTGTATCTAAAGCATCAAACTCAATTCCTGGAGGGCTGCAGCTCTGCACAGTTTTGCTCCAACCCTAATCAAACACAGCTCATCCAAATAATCAAGGTGTTTAAGACTGTTAAGCAGATGTAAGTTGAAAGGTTAGAGCTAAAATCTGCAGAGCTGTCGCCCTCCAGGAATTGAGTTTAAGACCAATGATCTTAAGTGTCCATATTAGTACTTAAGAATTTCACAAGGTACACTGCTGTACTTTTAGGTACTAATGTGTACTTTTAAATGTTAAATTATTATAAGAAAAAAACTGACAAGGACATATACTACCTCAATAGCCACATTTCCACTGTCAGGCCAGTGCGAGCCAGGCCTTTTATCGAGCTGGGCCAGGCCAATCGTCCGGGAGGTTAAGCAGCGAGGCCGAAATCATGTCATGTTTCCACTGTTGGGCTAGTAGCTTGCAGCGGGTCACGCAAAATCCGTCCCCAGAACATCCCCTGAATCAAACATCACACATCCCGCTCAGTTCAGCAGGAATCAGGCAGGCAGATAATGCACACCATTGCATCATCATAAAACAATTAAAATGAAGAAAACCATAACAAACAAATGACACGTTACTGTACAGCAGCACATTATATGTCTATACGTACAAGCCTATGTATTTTCATTCATTATATTTGTTTAGGCTACTCATAGACCGACTGTTGTCATCGTGCATTGAGTGGTCTCGCCACTAAGGGAGAGACCCAGTGCACAACTCATAATATAAAACCACAAAAATTCTCCAGTAATTACTCAGTTTAAAAAAAAAAAAAAAACACAAAATAAAGAGTACAAATATTTTTAAATAATTAAAAAATATATATTCTAGAGCACATTTGCCAAAGAGTTTTTAAAGAATGTATTTCTTTAAAGAATGTATTTCTTTAAGCAATGTATTTGTGAATTATTCTGTTCCTTTTTAAAAATGTGGAGGTACTGTTTGTTTTATGCCTCATCAGTATTTTGAAGGCATACAATGTTTTATTTAACAGAGAGGACCGCAATGGAAACAAGCCCAGGGCTTTATTGTGTTTTTATCCTCGACAGTTTTTATTTCAAAATGTATGGGATACTTGTATTTTTGTACAGCTGTTCTAAAGTCTGTCAAATAAAATTCAATTAAAAAATTATTTTATAACATCCTCATTTAGATAGATGTTATAAACATAGATGTTATAAAGATAGTCAAACATTCAGCCCAAATGCTCCGGAGAGACATGAAACATATAAATTTTTCCCTAGGCTATATGACGCTTAATAGGTAATTCCCGTGTATTTAAGAGAATAATTTAAGTATGTTGCATATTTTTTGGTTATCTTAAATAAAGTGTTAAGTGTTTCAGCACACAAGAGCAAGTAATAAAATATAGGCTATATTCTGTTGCCCTAAGCAGCTATCCACTAATAAAGCTCTACGTTTAACATTTCATTTTTATCTTTACCACGTCATATATAAAACATAAACACTTGTTTAAGGACACAGAACACATTTTTTCATGTGTAGTATTTCCCAATCTATTTGTAAAGCAGCACTGTGCAGGACAGAAAAGAATGCTCTGTTTGCACGATTTGATTAATATTATCATATCCAAATACTTTATAAATAATATTTTAAACCTCCTCCGGTGTTTATTGTTTTTAGAAAATATCTAAAATCTTTTTTTTCAGATAGGCCTTTGTAAAGTATAAAATGGCTAGAAACGGTTTAATTAATGTGTATATATACCTAAATTGTTATAGCTTTTGTTTGTTTTATATAGGTTTATTTCATGTGATTTTATTACATCCGATATTTGTAATTCTATAAATAATTTCAATAGGCTATTTTATCAAGATATGAAACCCAAAAACACATCTACATTGTAGCCATGTCTGCACAACTTTGTATTTTTTCAAAGGCAACGTTTCCGCTTACGTGCTCGCTACATTGTCACAACGAAGAAATGTAAGACATGAGAAGCTTGTAGCAACGTTGTTATGTGACATTCAGCAACCGCGGGACGGCATTCTTACTACTTTTATTAATATATTTTGTGGCAGTTTATCAATACTGCCTAGAATACAGGATAAGCAGTAATTCTTAGTTTAATTCCACTGAAGTGAAGTCAACATATTTTTTTTAATAAATATAACATTGACATGACATGTCGATTTGTATTGTTACAGATATTGAAAAGTAATTAAAGGTATAAGTTCAAACATGAAATACACATCAACACTCACGAGTTGTTGTCACAAATAATACTCCTAATCATTAATTAAGTAATTGACAGACTTGGTTTCTTGTGTTTTGCGTGTCTGTTTCAGTGCCATCTAATGTTGAAAATGTGTCTGTGGTGGAGGCCAATGACACTGATGTGATCTTACAGTGGAATGCTGTGCCTAATGAACAAAACAAATACAACTATATTCTTAAATACAATGATGTTGAGGAATCTGTTGATTTTACAACAGAGAATGAGATTAAGCATCATGTATCAGGCTTGATTCCTGCAACAAATTACAACTTCACGTTGCACACAGAGTTTTATTCTCAGAACAGCACTGGATACAACTTCAATCATACCACATGTGAGTCTCGCTCTCTCAATTTATATTGTCTTATTCTTTGGAATACAGTACATAAATAATGGGCCAAAAAGCATGGTTTGGCAAAATTCAGAATAAAAATGATGTAAATTGGAAACACAGGAAGTAGTTAAAAATGTTTAGGGGCATTGTAAAATGTTCATTACAGTTTACAGATAACATATCCAGCAAATATATTAGTCCAACACAAGATTTTAAAATAATTTCTACAAGAGCTGATCTGACAGGAGTTTGACCCTGCTACACACCATATGTCAGTCAGAAATTTGTTCTACTGTATTTCTATAAGTTACTAATAATTCTTGTTGAATCTTTCTTGACAGTTTTATCTAGTGTAACTGAGGTCAGAGTCAATCGATCACTCACAGAGTTGACTGTCGAATGGAATAAATTGAATCAAAACAACGTCTACAACTACACTTTACTCAGAAGTGATGGGGCAGAGATAGACTTCACTGGATCTGCTGTTGTGGGGGATGTGATTAAACATAAATACTCATCACTCAAACCAGGCACTGTATACAGTTTTACTCTCTTCACTGTGTCAAATAATGTCAGAAGTTCTGAACACAGCTTCAAGAGCATCACCGGTAAGTTTTTATAAAACGACTATGATTTAGCTAAAAAGCAGATAAAGAGTTGCGTTTTGACATCTTGCCACAGTTTTAAATTCATTAATACATTTCTTTCTTTTATTTTACAGTTATTTTATTTAAAATTTATTTTAATTCATCAAATTATTTTTTGTTTTTATGATAATAAGATAATAATAAACAAGATAAGTTGAAATAATTAGTTAATTTAAATACGTTTAAATTAGTTAACATGAACAGCGAAAAAATTCTAAAATCATTAATTACAGATTAATAAATTAATTAATTTAGATTTAAATTATATTTAGAAAGTTATCGTATAGTCATTTTAAATATAAGAATTACTGTATGTAAAATGTGTACTGTACACAACATCAAACCATTAATTTAAATGATAATATCACTTTTTTAAAGTCACTTACTATAAAGTGGTCCAATATTTGTAATGAATTTATTAGTTTATTATATAAATTTCAGAATTTCCAGACACAATTAAAGTGCTTGCAAACACAAACTAATAATGATCAGTTGAATTTTTTATTTACCATAATGTTAATCCAAAGGAAAATAGGTATACTGCTTATTCATTGTAAGTTAATGTATTAATTAACTAATGTCCACTAATCTGACCTAATTTTAGTATAACTGTTTTAATTATTTATTTATTTATTGAGGATATGCGGTGGCGCAGTGGGTAGCATGTTCGTCTTACAGCAGGTTGCTGGTTCAAGCCTCGGTTGGTTCAGTTGCTTCGGTTTTCCTCACAAGTCCAAGGACATGTGGTTTAGGTGAATTTGGTAGGCTAAAATTGATCATATTGTGTGGGAATTAGTGGGTATGGATGTTTCCCAGTGATGGGTTGCCGCTGAAAAGGCATAAAACATATGCTGGGTAAGCTGGCGGTTCATTTATTCTGCTGTCTGACCCCAGATTAATAAAGAGACTAAGCCGAAAAGAAAATGAATGAATTTATTTGTTTGTAAAATTTGGGTCAGATATGAACTGTTGGGTTAAAAATGTAACTTTAAATATTAAAATATGTAACTCTATGTTTGTGCATATTTGGGAAACAATCCATCATTTTTTAAAATTATTTTTAGCACATTTAACAAAATATATTATTTAAGGATATCTGAAAATAAGGAATGTAAGAGTAAAATCATCAAACTCATGCTTTTAATTAAAGACAGAGACCCAGACCATGAATAAAACTTAAACTGGGATTTAAAAAAAATTAATACAGTTGAAGACGAATTATTAGCCCCCCTTTGAATTAAAAAATTATAATAATAATTCCCAAAGGATGTTTGACAGAACAAGGAAATTTTCACAGTATGTCTGATAATATTTTTTCTTCTAAAGAAAATCTTATTTGTTTTTTTTTTTCGGCTAGAATAAAAAGCAGTTTTTATTTTTTTATAAAACATTTTAAGGTCAAAAAATTATTTGCCCCTTTAAACATTTTTTTTTTATGATAGATAGTCTACAGTCTGTTAACCTAGTTAAGCCTTTAAATGTCACTTTAAGCTGTATAGAAGTGTCTTGAAAAATATCTAGTCAAATATTATTTACTGTCATCATGGCAAAGATAAAATTATCTTTATTATTATTAGAGATGAGGTATTAAAACTATTATCTTTAGAAATGTGTTGAAAAAATCTGCTCTCCGTTAAACAGAAATTGAAAAAAATTATAAATAAACAGGGGGCTAATAACTGTATATACCTTACTTCAAATTTATCTCATTTTTAAATTATTTAAATAATTATATTATGATTAAATAAACTTTTTTCCTGTGTTTTCTGCAGCTCTGGATTGTGCATCCTTTAACTGGAAAGTCACCAACACATCAATAGTTGCTGATGTGTACGGTTGCACATATGTCACGGCTCAAAACAGCAGCGGGAGTGGTAAAAACGCTTCTATAGAGGGAGACAAGGTGAATCTGCGAGACCTGTATCCTGGAGAAAGCTACACTGTTTCACTGTTTTATAACTTGGAGTCGAAGATGCTCACACAGTGCTCACAACGCCTGACATTAGGTGAGCTTAAACTCTCTGTTTTGGGCCCTGCTGCTTATTAGCTGATATTTATAATCGTTTCTTTCTCCCTTTCAAACTACTCTAGTTCCATATGTTGTATCTAATCTTAAGTGCGAATATCATTCTGGAGGATATGGTCTGGCTGTCATGTGGGATTATCCAGATGGAGTTGTGGATGTGGTGGAGGTGGATGTTAACAAAAAAAGCTTCAACCATTCGCATGGTTCAGATGAGCCAACTCAGCAGCTGGTAACAGGCCTGCAAGCTGCTCAGTGGTACAAAGTCAAAGCAACATCATTTTCTGGAGCCAGGAGGAGTGAAACTATATTGATCAACTGCCAGACTGATCCAGCAGGTAAAATCTGTCTTGTACTGTATTGTTGTATTACACAGAAAAGCCTAATAGGTTGACAAAACTAAATTAATTGAGTAAACTCATTGCCTTAATATGATTGAGTACTTAGAGAACTTATAGTCTAGTATAGTCTACAAAACCGGCAAGTTAAATAAACTTAAATACGCAAGTTTTGGGAGACTCTATTACTCAATTAAATTAAGGCAACGAGTTTGCTCAATTAATTTAGTTCAGTCAACTATTATACACTGAAAACCCTAATATTTCAGTGTATAAAAAGTTGTATACTGAAGTGTTGTATTATAAAAGTGTCTTAAATCTACATTAAAATTCTTGTTAACTGTAAATAAAACTGAATGGAAAAGTTCATCCACAAATTAAAGTTCCAAATTCATATAATTTGACTTTACAGACATCGGGAAGAACTTGAGTATTAGATACAGTTAAAATATTCAGCTTCTTCCTTTCACAACTGCAATCTGTGTCTTCAGAAAAAAAATGGCATAGCAAATCAAATGAGCTAGTCTTGTAGCTTTCTTTTTATAGAAAAGTGGCCAAGAATTTCAAGCATTAACTTTATTCACACTTTATGGTAAAATTATTGCTATTAAACTATTATCATGACTATTAGTTCTTATAATTTGCTGCTTATTAATAGTAATTAAGGTAGTAGTCAGGTTTAAGATGTAGAATAAGATCATGCAGAATATGTACTTCATAAGCAATAATAATGGGTAACAATTTATTTTGATGGTCCATTTGAGTATTAGTAGACTGTTTGCTTATTATCAGTTGATACTACTGTTACACAGACATTTAACTGACCATAAGAAACTTTGCAAGTACATGTTGACTTAAACTAAACCTAACCTACCCGTCTACTTATAATCTTATGAGAATTAGTTGGCATGTAGATGCAATAAAACTTAATTCAACAAACAGACCATCAAAATAAAGTGTGACCTAATAATATCTTAGTAATAGGCAGGTAATAAGCCTTAAAAGGTAATAGTTGTAATGAGGGGTTAAAAGGATAGATGGTGGATCCATTAGCAGCATTTATTAAACTAAGTTAACGAAAACACTAGAGGTCAGAATGGCAGGCAGTTTATAATCAAAGTAGGACAATCGATTGGGAGTAAGGGTGCTTTCACATCTGTAGTTTGCTTCATTTGGTCTGGATGAAGGGCAATAAAAAAATACATTGAAGCATTTCTCTGCCGTTTTTGGATCATTTTCACACCACACTGATTGCTTTGTTCTTTGTTCTGAACCAGTTTAAATTAACCAAAATGCAGTCATCTGACAAAATCCACATCACTTATTGGCCAGGTGTTGTTGATCATATTTCCTAAACTGCTTATCGATTGGTCAGAATTAATGTGCGGGCGAATGCCAATGGAACTCCTGCAAGTAAACAAACCTGCAGACACGAAATGTCGCTTTTGACTATGGAGCTACGACTGAGCTGGCTGATTGAATCCCTGCTCATAGTATACTATATAGTTTGTATACATCACTTTAGACAAACAAGTGCATGGCAAACGGCAAAGGGGCATCGCACGTCCCTTCAGGAGGAGGCTTGAATTAATTTAGCTAAACTGCGACATGGTCATCTTCCAGAAATATTACCAACAATCCATCAGGTAATGTTGGTAAAATGGGTCTGTTTTAGTTCGGATCATGTTCTCACCACAAAGGAACCACTCCAGGGTTCATTTGAAAGCGTACCGAGACCACCTCTTCAAGGAGGTTTCATCAGCTTTTACGGTCCGTGATTGCTACATTCACACCAGCCTAAAGAACTGCAGCAAGAGGGAAAACAAACTAGTGCGATTCAATTGAGTTAAATAAGGCAGGTGTGAAAGCACCCCAACAAAAGCAGGAGTAACAAACTTGAGGAGAGAACAGGCAGGACTGGGCAGGCAGCAAACAGTCAAAGTAAAAAAAAAGCAGGCAGCGGAATCAACAAAAGATGCTCAGAAATGTTCACCAATGTAGAACATGACTGAAAGGCCTCATTCAGACTAGCAGCAACTTTGTAGCTGCTTGTCGCTCTGGGTGGTGACGTGCTTCAAACGCAGGTCTGTGTAGGTACTGTATATACAGCATGAATATAACCGGCCTCCAAAACAAAGACAGACATTCTGGCACAAAAAGCACATTTTTAAAGTAGACAAGAATGTTCACTTGACATGTTACTTAAATATCTGCAAACATATTGTGTTTTTTTATGCTTACACACAGCACCTTTAATATTAATAAATATAAATAAACACTAAAGTCAAGCTTCTTGTTATATTTAGCGGCAACCCTGATGAAGAGTTTGAGCTTCTCTTTGTCAGTATTTATATAAAGAAAGATAATGGATTCGTTATCTCTTTTCTTACTGATCTTGAATACTTGACTTCATGACAGGATATAAATCGGTTGAAAACTCTCTCTAGCTTCTTCACCACTTCTTCAAAGAGGATGTAATTGAGGAGATAAGTTTGCAATAGTGCACAGATTACCAGTTTTTTTTTTCTTTATTAGTTTCTCTTCCTCTTAGTTTGTATTGTATGTGTGTGTGGTTAGAAAGTCTAACTATAGTCTCCTTGGTAACATATTTAACTTTGGTTTCATAAACTTTATTGTGCGTGATAATAAATGACTCAAACAGCCTCATAAAGTAATATGAGGTTAAACATATCTAACATTACTGTAAGAGTTGACTACAATATGACATTCATGTATGCTGAATTATTGGGTAATGCATAGTATTAGAAATCATTCTTTGGTGTAATCATAACATGCTGTACATTATTGTATTTATTCTGCAAAATTCCATCAAATCAAAAGTCACATTATATTAAAGGGTTAGTTCACCAAAAAATAATTATGGACTCTGATATTGTTAAAGTCCCCTGAGAAATTCATTTATTTTTCAAACAAGAGATGAATTCTGAAGGGCTCACTGAGGACAGCAAGGCTCATGAAATGTTCAAAGTCCAGAAAACGAACCAAAATCTTTAGTAATCACTTCAATGATTACATTGAAATTATACAAAAGCTCTAAGAAAATGTTTGAACATCAAAATATCTGGAAAAAATTATTTTGTACACCCAGTCTTCTCTTCAACATCAGGTCAGGGTGCACTTTATTAAAGGCAATTAGCTGTAATAGGGCCATAAAAGTTAGGCCTGATAGGGCCCAAGCCCGACAAGTTTATTTTGATTGACAGCTTTTTAAAAGCCTGAACCCGTTTATAGCCTGACATTATTCAGATGTGCACATGCACACAGCTCTTTTGCCTTTTTCAAGAATGGGTTGTTTATAGGTGTTTTAACATCATTTACTCATAACAAACGTAGGCTATAGAGTACTTGGAAGTTGGAATAAAGAAGTAAAATAAGATCCAACAGACCAATAAAAAATATGTCTTTCCTAACTAATTAAATGAAAATTCAAAATTATGATGGGGATTTAGAAATAACGAAATTAAGTTAAAGGCTCTGCGGGATTTGTTTAACCACTTTTCACAATCTGGTTTTACTGCGGCGGTGAAGGTGAATAAAAACATAATAATGCCAACATTAGGTTTTATACTCTAATTACATAATGAATTTATGATTTAATTAATATTCAGTTATAAATTGAAAATCCTTTACTCACCAAGATTAGGCTACATGTTTTTTGTGGAGGAACATTATTGAATCCACTGTAAATGGCTTAAGCGGAGTCCTGCGCTCACTGATGGTGCATCCAGCAGCACTGAACACCCTTTCACTGCTGCTGCTACTGGCTGGGATACTGATCTGGCTAATTTTGCAAGTTTTGGGTAGGATTGTTTCTTCATCTTCCAAAATTCGCTTTTTTCGCTCGGTCATCATTTGTTTGCCCTTTGCAGGGATGGATTTTAATGTTGTAACAAGCGGTTTGATTACTTACTTACGTAATATGGCTGTAATCGTGTCATCCAGTTGGATGCTGCACACTGGTGGTGCATGAGGAGATACCCCAAAATATATATATATGTAAGACAATAATGACCTCTGAAGTCACATGGAATGATTTGACAAGGTTTTTGGTTCCTGTTTGGTTCCATAGTCACCTTTGCATACAGTGAAGGATGAGAGAGCTCTCTGGTTTCATTTAAAATATTTTAATTTGTGTTCAGAGGATGACGCAAGGTCTCATGAGACTAGAACAACATGAAAGAGAATAATTAATAACAGAATTAAACATTTTGGGTGAAGCAAATAATTAACCACATAGCAGAGCAATTCATGGATATGTTTGTTCATGTGTCCTGCAGGTGTTATAGCTGGTGTGCTGGTGTTTTTCTTGTTGGTCATCATTATTTGTGCTGGAGTCTTTGTATGGTTCCGCTATAAATCTGCACGTAATAAGTATGATATTTATTTACGTTTTTAAATCTATAGGTTAATGTATTTACAGTGCTCAGCATAATTGAGTACACCCCATTTTGAAAATGCATATTTTTATTTCTCAGTGAATATAGGCAATGTATTAAGTGCTTTTAAACAAAACGAATTTATTAAACAGATATATTTATATATCACCAAACAGATTTAGAAATTAAAAAATAATACAATTAAATTTAAGCAAAATATTGCAAAAATTAATTACAACCAACAAAATTTCAACTAAATTTTTGATTATTTTTATTTATTGCTTTTGCTTCTCTTGATTTTTCCTCTTTTTTAAAAAAATTGTACTTAATATTTTTCTATAACATAAATTTGGGTGTACTAGTTTTAAAACTGTTATTGTAAGTTAATCATTTGTCAGATTTGGCTTCAGTACTGTCTAATCTAATGTATATGCACAAATATTGTAGAGCTTCCTATTAAAAACATGAATTTAAAAGATATATTTGTGAGGGCTGTACTTATGCTGAGCACTGTATATATAAAATGTAACAGAAATTCTATTATTTCTATTATTATATCCCTTATATCTTTTTCCCCTCATATTTCATCTTTAGTGGACCAGATGCATCTGCTGATTTAAAAGTGTCTAAAAAGAACTACAAGTATGTATGACTCACTTTCACTTTTTTTAAGTGTGCTACGTGTTGTTGTTTGGTGATTTAATAATAAAAACACTTGTGAAATGTTTCTTTCAGAACAATCGCCTGCGATAAATTTCCTGAACATTTCCGAAACATGAGTCGTGATGATAACAGAGCTTTCAGTGCTGAATATGATGTAAAGCTGACTCAATACAAAACAGTTTTATTTATCTTGAACAATTCAAGTGTTTATAAAGAATGATTTTCCTGAATATGTTTTAACAGGACTTGAGTTCAGTGGGTGTAGAACAGTCAAAGGTTGCGGCTCTTCTCCCTGAAAACAAGGATAAAAATCGATTCTCCAATGTTTTACCATGTGAGTATTTACTTTATATACTAGAAACTTCAAGAAAAGTAAAGGTATGGATACTGTCATTTGGCGATGGTGCAATATGAAGCCATAAGCCTGAGCAATAGTGATCTCAAGGACTCAAAGTCCAAATTCCAGCAGACCCAAGCTCACAATCTTTACTCCTCACCCCATTTTTATAGCTTCAAACAAATAAATTACACTGTTGTAAAAAAATGTCACTGTTATAAAAAAAATGACTGAAAAGCTTTGGTTTTACTCTTTAATTAGGATTAAAGATCCCCTATTATGCATTAAAAAGGTCATATTTTTGTTTTGGGGGTCGCCAACAACAGTCTGATATGCATACAAGGTTAAAAAACACCTTCATTGTATTATAATACGCATTTATTTTTACCCAATTATCCCAACGACTCTTATATGAATACTTCAGGGATTCATTCCAAACCCTTCCTTAGCGCATTGCTAGTCTGCTCTGATTGGTCTAATGACCCAGTCTGTTGTGATCGGCGGACTGCGTTCAGCGCGATACCGAGAGATCCCACCATGGCTCATCATCAATTTTGAACTAGTCAAAGTGCAGAGAGTATGTGTGAGCCCAACGCAGGAGTGCATTAAAGCAATGCAGTTTAACACCAGCATATTGCTCTATTCTTTACCATGACACACATTTAGTATTAATCCACACATTGGCAAAAGCTAGACTACTTTGAACCTTGACCGACTTATGTGTGTAGGAACAGCTGACAGTGGCCATAGCAATGACAAATAGCAGTGGATTGTGAGCTCCACAACGCATTTAAATTTGTAAACAAAGCAGCACACAACACGTTTTCAATGAGGTTTTGAAGCGATATGAGAAAATAAATAGTTAACCAGATACAGTACAAGTGGTTACAAGTAACAAAACAATATCAAATACATAATTTGCAAGCTAGAGAAAACAAGGAGGCAACCATTTTAATTAGACTTGTGAAATGGAGGAAGAAACTGATCCATGAACTGTGTACTGTAAAGTTCCTGTTAATTTGTCTCATAAAAGGTCATTTATCCTTCTCTCTCTCTTTTTAGATGACACCTCTAGAGTGCATCTTACCATAAATAAAGCGGGTGATTCTGATTACATCAATGCTAACTACATGCCTGTAAGTTGTAAAATCTACACTACATAATATAAATTGATTATCAATGAATTTGTGAATTGTAGTGGAGTACTAACGTCTAAAATTAGAAGAAAACTTCATTATTTTCTTAATTTTTTTTTTCCCGAATAACTGACAAGACACTATCCATCTCTTGTATCTTCAATGTTTGATGTTTATGTGTGTATCAGGGATATGGAAATGCAAGCAGAGAGTACATAGCTGCTCAAGGTCCACTGCCATCCACTGTCAATGACTTCTGGAGAATGATCTGGGAGAAAAAGTCATCGACTATTGTCATGGTTACCAACTGTACTGAGGGTGGAAGGGTAAGGCAATGTTTTGAGTTGGCTTGTATATTGCGTCTGTTTACATTTTATACCATTGTATTCATCACACCATTTTAGAACTCCATTATTTTCATTATTTATATATTATGTAATATTTACTCAGCATTTAGTTGTATCCAACACAATCTCACTGCAATTCGTAACTTTTAGATTTAGTGGCTGGTTCGTATGAATTCATACGATCTAATTCGTACAATTTGTTACGATTTGCTCATCCCCAATAACGGTTGAGTTAGGTGCCACGCCTCCTTTTTAAAATCGTAAAATTTCGTCTGACTGAACTTGTACGAATTCGTACGAATTAGCCACTAAACTGGCAAAACGTTAAATACTTACTTTTTCTCGTGAGATCAGGCTGGTTGTATCATACATTTGATTGTTATGAATACAATATTGTGTTTAAAATGTAGGAATAACCTGTTTTTGTCCTCAAAAATAAAGCACGAACTCTCAGTACATTGCTGTGGGGATGAGCAGTTTTGTGGTGCTTGGATTTCTATATAACTAATGATAATAAAACACATAGTCACATCCAAGACTCAAAAAGGTGTAATTGTTTAAATAACATATTGTTTCATTTTGATGTAAAGAAATTTGAATCCTAAACAGATCAAGTGTACTATTTCTGTTAAGGTAAATAATAATTGCCATATGTACCTGATGGAGTTTTTTTCTCTTTGTGATTTAACTCCTCCAGGTCAAGTGTGAACAGTACTGGCCACTGGACTACACACCGTGTCTTTATGAAAACCTGCTTGTCACAGTGAAATCAGAGAACAAATCCCAAAGTTGGACTTTGCGAGAATTTAATGTCAAAAATGTAAGCCATTTCCACCCAGTTATAATTGCTTATTATGTTCTTTTAGTTACTCATTTACCTATTTTACCCCATTTACAAGATGTAAAATAAGCCTGGTGGGAATGTAACATAAGTGGGCGGGGAGAAGCAGCTCATTTGCATTTAAAGCCACAGGCTACAAAAACAGCTACAATGTATTCAGACAGCAAAATGGGCAGATTCTGAAGGCTATAATAAAACATCTGATCTGGTATGTTGAACTAAAACTTTACAGACACATTCTTGAGACACTAAAGGCTTATTTTACATCTTGTAAATGAGGTAAAATAGGTGCCCTTTAAAATGAAAACAGAGAGCTACCTCATCAAAGACAGCAAAAATCCTGAGACAATCAAAGTGTGTAAAACAAAATGTAAAAACAACATTGTTCACCTATGCCACATCCGGTCTCGGTATGTGTTTACTATGGGCAATATGATACTTGCATATTGCATTGCTGACTCTAATGGCAAAATGTAGTATTGCCTATTGTAAACACACAGCGTTACGATGAAAGAGATAATTATAGTCGTTTCAGAATGTTTTGACAATGTCTAAGCTACCTTTTCTGGACTTTGAATGTCTCATTGCTGACTATGAGGGTCAGAGAACTCTCTGATTTCATCTAAAATATATTAATTTGTGCTCTAAAGATGGTCTCAGGTGATTGGAACAACATGAGAGTAATTCATAATGTTTTGCGTGAACTAACCCTTGTAAGTCGCTTTGGATAAAAGCGTCTGCTAAATGACTAAATGTAAATGTAAACAGTACAGTTTTTATGTGCCCCATTAACATTAGAACAGTCAACTTCTGTTTAAATATGAATGCGTGTGATTTCATAATACAAATTTCAGTTCAGTTTAATTTTTTTGAGAGTATATATATTGTAAATATACTGAAACTCTAAGCATCACTTGTCAGGTAACCCTAATACAATCTGTTTAACTCTTTGTGCATAATAGAAAATGACCTCTGAGACGCGAACAGTGCGTCACTTCCACTTCACAGCATGGCCGGATCATGGTGTTCCCCGGGGCACAGAAGAGCTGATCCAATTCAGAGACCTTATCCGTCAGCACATAGAGAGCCACTTCTCTACAGGACCAACAGTAGTGCACTGCAGGTGATCATAAAACATGATTAATGACACTGATGATGAGCAACAGAAAGAGTGGAGGATTAAGAACAAACCATATTAACCAAGTAATGTGAAATATTTCTTTCTTTTGTTGTCTTCTCTAGTGCTGGAGTGGGCCGGACAGGGACGCTGATCGCGCTGGACGTCCTGCTGCAGCAGCTGAACAGAGAGAAGGCAGTGGGTGTAGCAGCATTCGTCCAGGAAATGAGACTCAACCGGCCACTTATGGTGCAAACGGAGGTACAGAGTTTGAGTCCATACCGATAAAAGCCACTTATTAATGTAGGAGGAATTCAAAAATGTCAGGGTGGAATTTTTGATGACTCAATCTTTATTTATTTTTGTTAGTTGCAAAGATCCTTAAATAATGCTAGAATACCACTAAAATAATTTTATAATCCTTTTTTCTTCTTCAAAAGTTTATTTGTCAGCACTCAGTTAATAGCTGCATAACATAAAGTTGATATTCTGAAGAAAAATATAAAAATGTTAAATTTCAAAAGGTTTTTGTAGAATTTTTGGTAACATTATCGAATGTGAAGGACTTACAGGTTGAATAAAAGTACAACATTCATAGCAAAATATAATCTAAGCTAAGCATGCTTCCAAGGTATGGCTCCTTGGTCAACAAATCTTTTTAGTATTCTTTGGTCAGGATGTATTTTTGTAATGATGATTATAATAGGCATTATAAAATATTAAGACACTGCATGCATGTTATACTCTATTTAACTGTGTTATGCTTCTTATCTTTTCTTACAGTCTCAGTATGTGTTCCTGCACCAGTGCATCCTGGACTCTTTGCAAACCAAGTTTGTGCAGCAGTCCGAACCCATTTATCAAAACACTGACACGATCTATGTCAACGCAATGGCTTTAAAAGATTTTGAAAATTCAAGCCACACATGAATTATGCACTTTTTTTTTTCTTTGTTTAGCAAAGCCATGCATGAATAATGTCTGTTGGTATAATGCAGAAAGAAATACCAAGTTCAGATAATCTTCAAGCCAAATTTCAATATTTTCAGCAAGTCTTTTAACACCTAGAATGAAATATCTCCCACTTTCTTGTCAAGTGGTCTCATTCCATAAACACTGAATGAATAGACGATCCAGACATTCCTTTTTCTTAAATGCTGATTACTAATGAAAGACATAGCATTTTAACCCTGAGCTATTAAATAATATGAGTTTACCATTTGAACTGAACTGCCAGTCTTTATTAATATATCTATGTATATGGCCTTGTTTCTTGATATATTTTTTAGCTTGATAATGTTTATGGATTATTTCATTGAGCTGTACTTAATGCTGCTTATTTTGCACAAAGCTTTTTAACAATGAGAACATTTAGTTAGGATTTAAACAAGAGTCTATTTAAAATCAACTTAACTGTGAATCTATATGAAAAGAGCTGTATATTGATTCTTTTAAACATTGTGTATTATTTTGTATTACTAATCAGATTTTAGGATTAAATTATGGTCATATCATATTGGTCAACCACTGTGACCAAGTTAAACCATACCAAAAATGTCAACCGTAAAGCATACGATGCTTAAAGTGCTGGCTATTACTATTGTGAATGACTCATGATATATTACTGTAGTGAATTATGTTGAATAGTGTACTGTTAATGCTAAGAACTGTATGAGGAACCTGAAACCACTGCAAAATGTACACGGGAATTCACAAAATTGTCCTCACAAATACTAATAGCATTAATTTATATTGAAATGACTACATTTTGTGTGCTAATGACAATGTGTGGACAAAAAAAAAAGGTTAAAGCCAAACGTTTAAGTACATTTTTACTTTTACAGGGTTTCTGCAGGTTTCACAGTGTCAAATTTAAGACTTTTAAGACCATTAAAAATTCAATTTTAGACTGATATAGGACTAAACACTGAGAATTTTTTGAATGGCCAAGCAAAAAAAACAAAAACAAAAAAAAGAAGTACTTGCCCCATCACAAAAATTATTCTAATTAGTTATTTCTTAGCCACATATTTTAAATAATGTGTCAAAACAAGCAGACCCTAGTTTTATACATACAATTGTTTTAAGATAACAAGTGTGTATGGGTGTTTCCCAGAACTGGGTTGCAGATGAAAGGGCATCCGCTGCATAAAACATATGCTGGATAAGTTGGCGGTTTATTCCGCTATGACGACCCCTGATTATTAATAATTGACTTAAGCTGACAAGAAAAGAAATGAATGAATGAATGCACGACAGACTGTTAAAATATAAGTTATGAATGGAGTTTTGGAGAGATGTTGGTGATTGGACAGCTTTCCATAAACAAAGGAACATTAAGACCAATTTGAAATAATTTAATATCTACAAGACATTTCAGTGAATTTAAGACTTTTTAAAGTTTAAAATTTATCATATGAAATTTAAGACACTTTAAGACCCTGCAGATACGCTGTTTCTGGAAAAAAAGTTTTTTGTTGAACAACTCAGGAAATTTATGCAGCTTGATCCTGTTGTAAAATAGGATCAAAGTTTGTTGTCATATTTTTATTTGTTCGCTGTCATATTCTTATTTGCTTGTATTAAAACGTCTAGAATTTGTGTGAAAATAATCTAAACTATGGTATAAACCGCTGTCACAATTTCAGCTACATTACATCAATTACATTGATTATTGTCAATTCTAAATTAAGAAGCATAACTGATTCCTATTCATAAACTAACCAAATTGAACCCATTTTGAAATATATGTCAGAAAATGCTTCACAAAGAAACTTTTGGGGATCTATTTTAATAATCTAAGTGCAAAGTCTAAAGCGTGTGGTGCAAAAGCATTAGGGCGTGTCCGAATCTTCTTGCTATTTTAAGGACAGAAACCCACGCTCTGTGCCCTGCTGCATGGTCTAACAGGATTGTGCTTATTCTCTTAATGAGTTCTGGGTGTGTTTTGAGCATAATGCATTAAACCAATCAGAGTCTCATCTCCTATTCCCTTTAAGAGTTAGGTGTGTCACGCCATGACACATTTGCTATTTACATGGCGGACTTTGTAAGTGAAAAAACTGAACATTTCTTTAGTGAGAAAACAGTTAAACAGACCATCTGCAGCGTGAGAATAAAGAATGAGCCTCCTTCATTGGACCTCTTTACTTTCTCTTTACTTTTTACTCTTTACTCTTTTACATTTGAGGAGTAAGTGGTGGAAACTTACTCCCCTGAAGACATACATTCGCCTGCATATTTCATTTCATTTGTTAAGCACAAAGATTTGTTTCAAAACTATTTCTAAATTCAGTTCTAATTTCTAGCAAATTAATAAATGAACAATGATAACAAAGTGTGGTAAAAAACTTACACACATCCTTTTTAAAAATGTAAATCCAAACACACATCTTATTCTTACGCCTCACATATGGTGATGCAAACGTCTCCAAAACCCAAATATGAAGTTAAAGCAAATATAATATAAATAAATAATACTACTAATAATAAAATTATACAAATGCAAATTATTATTAATAAACTGAAAAAAGCCCCCCGAGATGAAGTCATGGGGGTTTTGTTTTTTATATTTATGTATATTAGGATTTTAATCCTTTAATTTTTTTCTATGTGTAAAGATATTTGTGTATTGCTGAACATCCTGTGTGTATTAAGTAATGTGTACACTTTTGGACCTGCATAGGCGCATAACTAATGCGCTTTGCGCTGGACTTTAGACCAGCTTTCAGTTGGTCAAGGCGCCATCTATTTCAGTTCCTTAAAATAGCAACACACCAACAATGCGCCTTAACACACCTCCTTTTCAGGCCAGCACACCCATCTGTCCACAAAGGGGTGCAAATGGATTTACTATTTAACCAACGTGAAGCAAAACCTGAAAATTACTGTTGCGCTGGTCTGAAAATAGCTAAAAAATCACACCAAACACGTCTTGCGCCAGATGTACGCTCAATCCCTTGATCTTTAAATCTCTAGTGAAATGACTGAATTTAAACCACTTCTTTTAAAGTAAATGTGACCACATATTTGAGTATTTTTATATTGTATGCTAATGAACATACCTATTTTACGTTGTTTTTACCAGTAATGAGTAGGGCCAGACGGAATTTGCGGACGTTTTTTGCTATTTCTGTGGAGAATTTTTGTAAAAATCTGCGGATTTCTGCAGAATTATTTTGGGAGTATCATTACTAAAACCTTAATTAGTGAAATAAAAAGTAACACCTTTTTAACTTTTGTTTAATGCTTAAATTGGAAATCTAATTAGATTCACTTTATTTGGTAAACAAAGCAAGTCTCTCATATAATATATCTACTAAAAAACTGCATTGTACATAAATCAGATGAACATTTTCATATTAGTCAATAATATTACTGTAATTAATTAAAAAAAAAACTAAATAAATTTAGATTTACACACATTTACTCAAGTAAATAAACAGAATTAATGCGCGCGCAGATTCCGTGTGGGCCTAGTTATGAGATTCTTTTTTGCACTGAAAGTCACTTTAGTAAGAGCTGAAATGTAAACCGCCATCTTGAATGAAAAACCACACCATTTATGGTTATGCCGCTCAAAGCAAAAGCAACAAACTACGAAATACATATGTATTACTGTATTGCACAAACATGTTATGTCTTCAAAGCAAGTAATCAACATAAATGTGTAAAAGAAAAAGTGAACAACATGTGGTAAGAACAACATTATGGATGCATCCATCACAGTTCTTTGAAATTGGTATACACAAGTTGGGTGAAAAATAACTTTGCATTACATATGGGGTAATAAACTCTATATTTCTAATACTGCCTTTCATGGCTGACAACTGTACTATTGACACAGGAAATGTACTATCTTCAGCCGTTCCATTTCGCCTAGTCAAAACTCACCCAATCTGTATTTAAATCCAAAGCAGCACCTATTGTTAGCATCACTGAACCCATGGTACTACTGGAGTACTTCTTCTTGTAACAAACTTGTAGTATTGAATGAGCTAATTTTATAGCCTTCCATACGTTTTTTTATTCATATTACTTGTTGATGAATGTTAGCGAATTAGCATTAACTTATTTGAATCAACTGTGTAATTAATAAAGCTTGTGTATATAACCAATCGGCTGGCATCAGCATGCATATGTCTGTTTATTTCACTCAGCATAGTTGAAATACTAACGGTTTCAGACTTTTCTTTTGCGATCATAAGTATTCTCTCATAGATCTGGTCGCCTCGGAGTCATCCTCGTTTTCTGTAGTGTTAAAAAACATTTCTATCATTTCATCTTTAGTGTCTTCCATGTAGTCAAACTGCTGCTCTGCCATGATGTTGAGCACTTCTGACGGCGGATGGAGCGGCTCCAAGCTAAAATCGGCAGGTAACGGCACGGAGAACTTCTTGCTGATGTTGTGCAGGACGCAGCAGGCTCTGATCATGCATGCCACAGACTCGGGTGACTGGATGGAGCCGAAGTCTTGCAGGCATTGGAAACGGCTTTTCAAACTACCAAAGACATGCTGCGAACTGTTGTATAGCAGAGCGTGTGCTTTGTTAAATTGCACAGCCGCGTTGCTTTTTATACGAATGGTCTCCACTGGGGTCAAAACATGTCCACATCCTAGAAGAGATGGGCTACCTGTGGGGGGAAAAGAGAGAGTCGATGAGGCATCTGATCATTCGCATGACCCCCACTTTCAATGTTTAGGCTTGGTATTGACAAAAACAGATCCATTTATTTCATTTTTTTTTAAATCTCAAGAATAAAAAAATGCTTGTATTCGTACCCTGCTGTCCTTCACAGTGGCTGAAAAATTGATTAAGAGTTTTATTTTCTCTCGCATCGACTACTGCAATGCTTTACTTGCAGGCTTTTCAGAATCCACCACTAAATAGACTGCAGCATGTCCAAAAATTCAACATTTAATAAATATTTAGATAGAATAACATAAAATAAGATCAAAATCTAAACAGTTTAAGATTTACTTTTGATCAAAAGATCTTGGAATTTTTAACAATTAAAAAGATATTTGCTTTAAAGTCTCTCAGGTAAAAATCGTTGTCTGGCATTCCAAAGGTATAAGCTTCACAGTTGTTTCCTATTGCGATACTGACATTTTGGAGGAACTTCAGCTTAAAATAAATGTCCATAAGCGAGTGGTTCTTGCTGGTCATGAGCTGTTTTAAGCAACCTGATTAATTAATTTGTATTAATTTGTATGAGTTCAATCGTATGTAAATTAACGATTTTAAAAAGGAGGCATGGCACCAAACCCCAACCGTCATTAAGGAATAAGCAACTCATACTAAATTGTACAAATTCAATTCAATTCACCTTTATTTGTATAGCGCTTTTACTATGTAGATTGTGTCAAAGCAGCTTCACATAAAAGATCATAGTAAATAGAAAGTGTCAGTTCATTTTTCAGAGTTTAAGTTCAGTTCAGTTTAGCTAAGTTCAGTGTGGTTTAATAATCACTACTGAGAGTCCAAAAACTGAAGAGCAAATCCATTGATGCGCAGCTCTACAGATCCCGAACCATGCAAGCCAGAGGCGACAGCGGCGAGGAAAAAAAACTTTACCAATTGACAAAAGTGAAGAACAAAAAAAAAAAAAAACCTTGAGAGAAACAAGACACGGTTGAGCACAACCATTTCCATTTCTCCGCTGGCCAAAAAACATCTTGAGATTATACGATGAGATTATACGAATTCAAACAAATCAGCCACTAAATAAAGATTTACGAATTGTTGCTAGAAAGCGTTGGTTTAAGCTGTTTTTTCTTAGTAGACAGTTCTGAGTTTATTGCTATATCAGCTAAAAGTGTCTACAGATAAAAATCGATGTCTGGCATTGCAAAAGTATATGCATGACAGTTTGTTTCCTATCTGCTTGTTAAGTCGTGATGTATCGGTGAAGTATGAAATACTGTTTTTGGGTCCAAGCCGAAACCGCTACTCATTTGAATTGAGAAAATAATCATTTATGATCACTTTTAGTCACATCACACATTAAAATAAATCTGATATAAAATCATGGTGTACACAACACGAATATTGCATCATAGACATTAATTTTCTAACAATTTATGAAGAAATGCTTAACAGTTTGTTTCCTATTGCAATACTGACATTTTGGAGGAACTTCAGCTTTGAGTAAATGTCCATGAGCGAGTGGTTCTTGCTGGCCATGATCTAATTTTAAGCAGACTGGTCTGACGAGGAAACGTGACTATTTTACATTTTTCCAATTTAGTGGTTAATTCATATAATTCTTAGGAGTTAAGTGGTATAAAAATGTACAATTTTAAAAAGGAGGCTTGGCACCAAACCCCACCCATAAAGCCAACCGTGATTGGGTGATGAGCAAATCATACTAAATTGTAGAAATTAGATGGTACAAATTCAAACGAATTAGCCACTAAATCGAAAAGTTACGAATTGTCATGAGATAGCGTTGGTTTAAGCTGTTTTTTGTTGTTTAAGTTCTACCAGTTTTGATGGACTCCGCATTTAAACTTATTTTCTTTCTCTACATTTATTTTCTCTACAGATAAAAATCGTTTTCTGGGTTATGATTAAAAGCAGCTTTTGACCAGAACTATCTTAAACCAGAAGCCATGAGTCAAAACCAACTTAACTATCATGTGCTGTTTTTTTTTTTTTAAACAGTGTATGTTGCATTTTATTAATTACTATCAACATTATTATTTTTTCTTAAAATGAACTACATATCTTATTCTGCATAAAAATAATTTGGTTATAAATAATTTTTCAGGTGTTCTTCTTACAGTCTAAATTATGAGTTAATTACATGTACTAATAAATAGTTGGGGATAGAATGTGGGTTTAGTAACATATAATTAAGCATAGTTTATTGTAATTACTATAGTAAGTGCATAGAACCTGTGTAAAGACACCTTAAATAAAAGCGTTACCAATGATTCCACATGTAGGCACTTCACTTGAGTTCCAGTTTAAAAAAAGCATTACACAAGGTGGGCTCTGCATGTGATTGCTGTCATTACAGTCTAAATGAAACATCAATTTCTGTTATAAAAAAAAATGTTCAAGACATCATTCAAAACTGTATAGAGTTTATACTCATTTGTGTAAAAACCTACTCTCAAAAACAAAACACTGTGCCTTTATAAACAAAAAAAAATCTATTTGATATTATTTTAATATTCTAGTTTTATTACTTAACCATTAGTGACCGGTCAAAAATAAAATGAAATGAAAAAAAATAAAAATAATCATCCCAAACTGATTTGTGACATTGTGGTTTTGTGTTGTATTATATCTATGTAATATGCTCTCAAATGTTTATTTTTGTAAATGTTGGGAGCAGTTAATTTTGCATTTTTGGTTTCAACAACCAAATCCATCTAGAACTGTCAAAACTTCATCTGCAATGCATTTAGTGGTTTTATCCGATCAGATTTTCCTGTTGGGTAGTTTAAATTTGTCATTTTTACTGTTGATCATCAGTTGGCAGCAATAACACTTTAGATAGGCCTCTGCAAAAAAAGTTTCTGGCTTTTAAATTGAGTTCTATTGAAATTAGCATAGTGTGCGTGCATTTATATAGACCTATTTGAGGGATGTAAACAAAAACAATGGTCCCAACGTATTTCTTGTTTTACATTTTTAATTTCTATAGCTTCCAACAATCCAAAAAGAGCCACATAAGGATAAATAATGTTATGAAAGCTGTTTTAACATTAAGTTTTAATTGAATTGCTTTGTTTTTACAGTCATGAAATAGTTTGATAACAAGCAGGAACTGTTCATGGACCAATGACATCACCACATTGAAATGGTCCACTCTATATGATTATGGAAGTCAATGGGGCAAAAGTAGTAAAGTAGAAGCACTAAGGAGAGTATATTGTAGACTCTTTGAAAATTTTCTACAGTATTTTCACAAAATATGTGTCAAAATAAGAAACAGAGAAAGTTGTGGCCAAATTAAGACTCAAAATCACCCCAAAATGGATTATATTCACACATTTGTTCAGTGCCAACTTGTGACATGCACCCTATAATGTTTACCATGGTACTTTGAATATTTGGCCTGAAACAACATGAAAGTATGACTTCAAAACAACATTATCACTACTTGACAGTGAACATTGTTGTACTTTGATAGTCATTGACTAATACTACGATGTCACAATATGAAATTTGCAAAGAATACTTTTCTGTTATTATGTTAAGTAGAAAGTATAAATGTGTGATTATAAAACCAACTTCATCTCAATTTGTTACCATTACATATGGTTCCCAAAGTGGAGGATGGGGTCCCTGAGCAGCCGCAGGGTGATTTTCAAAAATCAAATCAATTTTAATAAGCCATTAAAAGTACTATTTAGCCATAACTGACAGAATTAAAAAAAGAGTATATTAAAATGCAAATTAATAGCCACCAATTTCATTTTTTTTCCTCATTGGATGGCCATTCCTTGGGTTTTTACATTAGATTATCCCCACAGCAGTAGCATCATTTGCAGCAAATTGATTTTACAGCACCAGTCTTAACTTTCAACACCTTTATGTCACTCAAACACATTAAAGATGAATACAGGAGACTAAACATTGAGAATGACCTCCGAGTGATGGGCTCCATAATTAAAACAGACTCCTGGTGTAAACATTGTGTTGACCAGTCTTATTAAGCGAAGATTATATTAAATTAAATCAATAAATGACTATAAAATATATATATAGACCATTTCAATGTGGTGATCAAGCTATTTCATAACTGTAACAAGAAGCAATTCATTCATAACTTAACGTAAAAACAGCTATCATGACATTATTTATCAATATGTAGCTCTTTATAGATTCTAAGAAAATATAGAAATTAAAAATGTAAAACAGGAAGTATGTTAGGACCATTGTTTTGATTACATCCCTTAAATGGTTTATAGATGTTAAGACTGTTGCACTTTTTAGTGCTGTCAATATGCTTATGTTTATATAGGCTTATTGGTGTGTGTGTGTGTGTGTGTGTGTGTGTGTGTGTGTGCCGTTGCATTGAACATTTGTGTTTACAACCACCTTTGAAATTAGTGGGGGTCGTGAGTCACTGACGTTGTTATTTTGGGGGTCGTGGGCTGAAAACTTTGGGAACCCCTGACCTATAGGATTTAAGGTAAAATAAGAAAACTAAAGGTTTATTAGTTGTTCCCAATGGTTCTTACCAATGATCCACGTGTGCCCGTGTTGAAATATGCTGAACTGTCTGCCAATGTCCGAGTTTTCCCAAACAGAGTGTTCAGGAGTTCCCCCAGGACAGCACTGCTCCACACTAAAGAGATTCCCGTCCGCGTCGAATATGACCTGCACCATGATTGAATGATAACCCAGAGTATTCACATACATGCGTTCCTCCAAGACGGGAGGTCTCACCCTTATGTGCAAATACCCCAACACTCCCACCACATGCGGGATGCCGCTCAGGTTCTTGAAGGCTTGTGCGGCACCCATGCGGTCGTTATAACTGTTCGGGAATGTGATGAATTCGGGGGTTAAGTCTGATAAGAGTTTGGTGGTGGCCTTCACCGCCTCGCATGCTGTTTTCTGATCGATTCTCAGACGGTCTGTGACTTTATTTGGCAGAGACCCCTGTGCGTAGTAGGCAAGTGCGGCCAGAATGTTGGCCTCGGACAAGTTCGGCTTGTGGCTGGACGCAAATATGTCTTTTTTAAAACGGGCCTGGATGAAATCGATGATGAACCGCAGACACTGTCGGTTGAGATGTAACCAGCGTGAAAGGAAGTGATCGTCCAGTCCGCCCAGCACAGAGTGGATCTCGGGAGCAGAGATGGGCTCGCTGGTGCTGGGCTGTTTGTCTGGTTTTTTGTTGCTGATGTTGGATGATGTTGTGTTGTTACATACACCATTTGTTAATAAATCATCCTGAACTGCAAACCACAGCGCACCAGCTAAAGACATTATGAGCAGCAGGGGGGGAAACTGTTGAAGTCCTCCTCTGGGTTGTGTTTCAGTTGACTAACGTTATCTCGATTACTGTCTACAAGAAAACTTCGCGTGAACTGGACCATAAAGCGTCAGTATCTTCAAACATCAGATTAGTCCATGAAAATAAAGTATTAACTGAATGGAATGACGACCGGGTAGTACTTAAAACATCTCATCTGCGTTTGGTTTACGTAATTTGGAAAGAAAAGCCAACACTTTACCTTCAAAACAAACGAAAAAACACGAAATGAATGAGAGGCATGTTGAGGATGGATCGCGTTTACACATCCGGGTCAGGGGAAAATGTCTTTGAATTTCAAAATACAGGTCCCGCTATATATCAGGAGAAAATAGTAACTAATATTATTAATTCATTAATTTTCTTGTTGGCTTAGTCCCTTTATCAATCTGGGGTCGCCACAGCGGAATGAACCGCCAACTTATCTAGCACATGTTTTATGCAGCGGATGCCCTTCCAGCTGCAACCCATCTCTGGGAAACATACACACTCATACACTACAGACAATTTAACCTACTCAACTCACCTGTACCGCATGTCTTTGGACATTGGGAAAACCGGAGCACCCTGAGGAAACTCACGCGAACGCAGGGAGAACATGCAAACTCCACACAGAAACGCCAACTGAATCAGCTCGAACCAGCGACCTTCTTGCTGTAAGGCGACAGCACTTCTGCTCCACTGCGTCGCCTAACTAATATTAAACATAAATAAATAAACTATAACTTTATCTAGAAGATACAAACAAATTACTTTTCTAAAGAATTAACTCATTTATTGCAGTTAATATTACGTTAAAAGTGTTTATTCATTAGGCGACACAATGGCTCAGTGGTTAGAACTGTTGCCTCACAGCAAGAAGGTCACTGGTTCCAGTCAGTTGGCATTTCTGTGTGGAGTTTCTCCCAGTATGTTCCCCCAGTGTTTGTGTGGGTTTCCTACGGGTGCTCCGGTTTCCCCCACAAGTCTAAAGACATGTGGTACAGGTGAATTGAATAAACTAAATTGGTCGTAGTGTACGAGTATGAATGAGGGTGTTTGGATGTTTCCCAGTGTTGGGTTGCGGCTGAAAGGGCATCCGCTGCGTAAAACATATGCTAGACAAGTTGTCGGTTTGTTCTGCTGCGGCGACCCCAGATTAATAAAGGGACTGAGAATGAATGAATAAAAGTTTTGTGATTGAAAGTGCATTCTATACGTAGGCTACATTAATGCAGTGTTTCTCAACCATGTTCCTGGAGGACCATCAGCTCTGTACATGTTGCATGATCTTAACCAAACACACCTGATTTAGATAATCAGCTCATTAGCAGAGACTGAAGGAACTGTAATGGGTGTAACAGACAAAGGAGACATCCAAAACATGCAGTGTTGTTAGTCCTCCAGGAATGTGGTTTAGAAACACTGCATTAATGTAATTTATACATGCATTACTTAGTATTGACGCAACATAACCTTAATTTTTTTCCAATGTCATTTTAATGTATAAATGGGCTTTTGTAAACAATAATTATAGTGAAATAACATATAAACTTGAATTTAATTGAACTGAATTAATGCCGTTATCTGAGTGACTTTTAATTTGGCATTCTGAATTCTGAAGTGTCGTTTATTATTATTATTTCTTGTCGTAAAAAAAGTGAAGTTTGACGCAATATACCACTTTAAACTACGCAAAACACAGATGAGACACACGTTAACAGTTTCTCCTTAATTATGGCTCTAACTTTAGGGAGAATGTCAGTTAATAGTGCCTTTAGGAGGGCGATCCTGAGTTTAAACTACGTGAAAGGACAAAGATTTAACAGCAGCACTTCAAACAAGGAAAGAAAAACTACGAGCTCAGGTAAAGTAAAAACAAAGTTTCCCCCTTTGTCGGTAGAGGTCAGCAAAAACTTAAAGTTTGGACTTTGGAGGAACTCACTACAGGTCTGTATGAAAGTAACTTAGTGGGAGTAACCTGACCGGTAGGCGAGGCCAAAATGGAGAGGCGTTCTGACAACATGTCACCTGATTGGGTTTAGGTTGGGTTAGGCGGGGGTTCATTAAGGGAGATCATTTTCATTGCATGGTTTAGAAAAAAAAAAATCACCAGTTTGGAAACACCCACACATTCAGAAACGCCCGTGAACGTAGGAGGGGACTGTAATGTTCACAACTGACCAATCAAATAACTTTTACCTGAGACTCTTGTAAGCTGAGTTGGACTTCAGCAATAGTGCAATGGGTGAATAGCTTTCAATCTTCCTCTAAGTTCCAGTTAAAGACGACATATCGTTAATGTTACCCAGTGTTTAAGTAGCAAGAAAGGAAAGATTATTTAGAAATACCTAACGCTACGGTTGACCTTATTAACTTATTTAGGGCATACAGAAACGAAAGCAGAGTTGTGACGCAATGCACAGAACTAGTCGAGCCTCGTAACTTACTATTTATATTACACGAGAATCTGCACATAAAGCTAAAGAATATATATTTTACTTTTTTTAAACGCATGGCTTCAATCCCTAATTTTCTGATTGAAGTTGACGCTGCTCAAATCTTTGTTTAACAACAAAAAATGTGTCCGATTTATGGTACTATATGAAGAACTGTTGTGTATTGACTCTGCTTTGATTTAGCTTTCCTGTAATGCTCCTAATTTATTTATTTTGATACACTTTTATACAATTGTAATTTACTCACCCCTTTCTTTGTTAGTATTTTTTCTGTCTGCAGTTAATGTAGCTTGTATTTTCCCTCTTTTGTATCTCTCTTATATTGATCTCCTGATTGTGGTTTCATATTTTCATCATCAAAAAAAAAAAAAAAAAAAAAAAAAAATATATATATATATATATATATATATATATATATATATATATATATATATATATATATATATATGTATGTATATGTATGTATGTATGTGTGTGTTACACAGAAAGTGATATTGAAACCATCAAGCATATTTTATACAATTGCATATACTCAGAGTTATTTTGGATTTATGTACACGACGTGTACATGTCTCATGTCAATATCCATGTAAACCATTTTTGCTGAAAACAAGTCAAATTTGGTGTAACTAAAGAAAATTATTATAATTAAATTATTAATATTACACAGTGTTTTGGAATTACATGCAGACGCAAATATGGGTTGTTTTAATAAACACCTAATTTTAATAAAAACCTCATTATTAATAATAATCTCAAATGAAAATGAGAGTAAAAAAAATATTAAAATTGTTGTAATGTTCAGACACTAAAGGTCTTAGGATATTCAGTGTATAGGAGATGAAAAATTATTACTAAAAAAAAAAAAACGTCAGCACTTTTAAGGTTTACAATGTAAATCCAACTAGAAACATTTGTTTGGTAAACAAAACTACAGTAGCGCTATAGTACATCTGCTACAATACATTGAAAATATAATGTTACAAATTGTGTTGTACGTTTTTAAACTTAGGTTGTGTTGTAATTTTTTGCTGTGAAATTACATTTTAATATTTATTTTAAATGACCTATAGTCTAATTTAAATTTAAATCAAAAAGCAATTTATTAAATCATTTTAGTAGCGCTATAATACATCCCCTAATATACATAGAAAATATATTGTTAAAAATGTTGTTGTACCTAAATAGACTAAAATGATTATTCAATAATATCACTTAAATTAACATAAAACGTTGAATAAATATGAATTTATACACATTTACAAATAAGTAAATAAATAGGCTGAATAGATGGCCTCAAAAATTCACCTGTATAAGGTGTCTGTCCATCTATCTTTCCATCTATCTTTCCATCTATCTTTCCATCTATCTTTCCATCTATCTATCTATCTATCTATCTATCTATCTATCTATCTATCTATCTATCTATCTATCTATCTATCTATCTATCTATCTATCTATCTATCTATCTATCTATCTATCTATCTATCTATCTATCTATCTATCTTTCCATCCATCTATCTATCTATCTATCTATCTATCTATCTATCTATCTATCTATCTATCTATCTATCTATCTATCTATCTATCTATCTATCTATCTATCTATCTATCTATCTATCTATCTATCTATCTATCCATCCATCCATCCATCCATCCATCCATCCATCCATCCATCCATCCATCCATCCATCCATCCATCCATCCATCCATCCATCCATCCATCCATCCATCCATCCATCCATCTATCTATCTATCATTTTTAAATTGCCCTCTATTGTATGTACAGCACATTTCAACAGATTAATTTAGCATGAATATAAATGTTCAGTCCTATGATTGTGACAGGTTCTAATGGCCCAGTAGTTTCTGAGAGAAGGGGTGCAGTGATGCTTATTGGGATAAACCGTCCTGAGGCACGTAATGCAGTGAATCGAGAGACTGCTCAGAGACTGACCGAGGAGCTGTCAGCCTTCGACCAGGACGACAGCCTTAATGTGGCAGTGCTGTATGGAGTGGGTAAGTTACACATGATTTACACATTAATAATCAGGTGGATAAAGCTGATGTAAAGTGATGATCAAATTCAAGTTTGATGGTTGTTGTCTGACTTGCTGTAAAAATTCATGAGTTCAAGAGTTCATTATGGATGCTAAAGTTAACTAACATTAGAAGTGAACGTGCAATACATTAATTAATTAATTCATTCATTCATTCATTTTCCTTTGGCTTACTCCCTTATTTATGAGGGGTCCCATAGTGGAATGAACCACCAACTATTCCAGCATATGTTTTACACAGCGGATATCCTTCCAGCCACAACCTAGCACTGTCGCCAAGTATTTTCAACGAAATGACGCTAAGGTCTGCCTGAAAAGTCACTAAAAGTCGCTAGATTACATCATATGTTAATTTGCATACTACTGACGTCATCACGTTCTACCGTTTTTGTTTGTTTAACAGCCTATGGTCAATAAAGGGGTATTTACATTTGCACTACACTTTACGTATGCATGTCAATTTAACAAAATTGATTACAGTTTAAAAACATATCATTATAGATGTGTTGTGAATTTGCAATCTCTCAGACGTAATAAACTCAGACAAGTACTGAAAGTCTCACTTAAAAATTCTGTGATTGTGAACAAGAAAAGAATAAATGGTCAAATTAAATTGTTAAAGTAAAGGAGAAGCAGATCAGTTTGACTACACAAGGGAAATACCTTCACACTGCCGGTGCTAAGTCCTTTGCCGTCGGTACGCAGAGAGGGGATCTGAGTCAGGCTGCAGGTGGGAGAGGCTGCTGTGCGAGGACTGGGCCGCCTGTCAGTGCTCTGAGGCGGAGGGGGGGCCGG